TGTCAGTCGGTGGGGATGTGGCTGTCATCCTGTTATCCACTGGGATCTCACCACGTCCATCCTGCCATTTCATTCCTAAAAGCTGGATCTCCTCTGCAGGTCCCTTTACTCTGTTCCATGGAAAACCCCACTTTTAGTGGGATTTGGATTGTTTTTTCCAGTTTCTCAAACCCTTCAGCTCTGCTGCCCCACTCGATGATGTCACCGATGTCCCACAGGGATTCCGGAGCCTCCCCCTGTCCCAGCACAGTCTGGATCAATCCATGGGGGAGAGATGGGCCCTTCCCAGCCCTGGGATGGTTCCAGGGTCAGGGGATCAGAGCCAGGGCTCAACAGGCCTGGGCCAGTGGAATTCCAGCATCCTGGGGCACCGGCTGCTTTGGGAATTGTGTTTCCCTTGGGAAAGCTGCTGTGGGGGCAGAGGCACCGTGTGACCCCCGAGGATGTGGAAAAATGGGAGGAAATGTCCTTTCTGGACCTCAATCCCATCACTTGCAGCAGCCTGAGGTCCTCTGGGTGCCAAAGGCTCTGCAGATCCCGGGATGAGCCACATCCATCCCCCCCATCCCTCCAGAGCTCAGTCCCAGGCATGGAAAACTAAGGAGCTTTAGTCCCAAAACTCTGCATCCTCGAGGGTGCTGGAGGAGGGTGATGGACACCTCAGCATCCCAACCCCCCTCCGTGCTCCCAGCTCTGCTCTAATTCCGGGAATTTAATTGGAAAAATGTCTCCCAGCCTCGTGATTTCACCTGAAAGGCAAAAATCAAAGAGGGGAAGTCGGGATTTTTCCTGGTTATTTGAGTCCTGGAGCACAAAGGACCCGTGGCCCAGCACCCCCCTCCCTGTGTCCCGTCCTTCCCACCCGGATTCCGGAGGATGCTCCACGTGTGCTCCCGGCACGTTGAACTGGGACATCCCAAAAAAGCCACCGGGGCTGTGGCGCCGTCACAGCCGGGGGTGGCAGGGAGGTGACAGGGTGACATTCCCAGCGCTGGGCTGGGAATGCTGGGAACGGCCTCAAGTGGCACAAGGGGGTGGGGTCGTAGGTGGGATTTTGGGAATATTTTGGGAATATTCCTCCTGAAAAGGGTTGTCCAGCCCCGGGAGGCTCAACAGCCACGGGGATGTGGCACCTGGGGACACGGGCAGTGGTGGCACTCGGGGACATGGGGCAGTGGTGGCCTCGGGGCCAGGCAGACTCAGGGGGGTCTCCTGCGGTTTTCCCACCTCAGCAATTCCCTGATTCCGTGGTGTCCCAGTTTCCCCAGTGCATTCCCATCCTCCTTCCCGGCTCTGTGGGCAGATGGAGTGGGGGGGGGGTGTGTCTGTCCCCATTCCTGTGGGAATGTCACCATCTGTCCTGCTGCTCCGTGACATCCAGCCTGGGGGGACATTCCCAGTGCTCCCAGCGCAGAGCAGCCTCCGGCTTACTGGGAGTGGAGGGAAATTCCCAGGCTGGGAATGACTGCGGGGCTGGTCCGTGTGAACTGGGCTGTACTGGGAGCGGCTCTGGGGCTGTCCTGTATGGACTGGGCCATACTGGGGCTTGTCTGTGTAAACTGAGCCATACTGGGGCTGGTCTGTATGAACTGGGCCATACTGGGGCTGGTCTGTGTAAACTGAGCCATACTGGGCTGTACTGGGGCTGGTCTGTGTGAACTGGGCTGTACTGGGGCTGGTCTGTGTAAACTGGGCCATACTGGCCGTACTGGGGCTGCCCCATAGGTACTGGGCTGTACTGGAGGTGGCTGTGGGGCTGCCCTGTCTGTACTGGGCTGTACTGGGGGTGGCTGTGGGGCTGCAGGTGCCCCCCCAGGTCCATGGGTGCCCCCAAACCACCCCCTGAGCCTCATTTGCATTTTTTGCTCGTTTCTACATTAACCCCCCCAGTTTTGGGGGTTTATTTGTTTGGGGGGGGCACTGGGGGCACACGTGGTGGCTCCCACTGTCACAGGACCCCCCAGGACTGGGAGGCTCCGGCCGTGTCCCGGTGGGTCCGGAGGGAGTGGGAATGAACACGAGGGGAATAAGTAGAAGAACAACCGGAATAACCTAAATAGAATTTAATAAAATAGAAAAATAGAAAAGAATAAATAAACCACAATAATCAGAATAAACAGACTTAAAGAGACTCCCGGCTTTAAACACAGACCCGGGGCAGGGCACTGGTGGGACTGGGAGGACTGGGAAGTGCCCTGGAGGGACATTCCAAGATCTGGAGGCACTTCAATGCCCAAAGGGAACATGGACACACATCCCAGGGGGGTTTTCCAAGGCCTGAAGATACTTCAGAATCCAAAGGGAACATGCAGATACACCCCAGAGGGATTTCCCAAGATCTAAAGAAACTTCAAGATCCAAAGGGAACAGGGAGACACATCCCAGAGGGATTTTCCGAAGTCTTGAAAAAGTGGAAAGCGCCCTGGAAAGACATTTCAGAGTCCAAAGGTGCTTCAAGGCCTGAAGGGAACATGGAGACACATCCCAGAGGGATTTTCCAAAGTCTGAAGATACTTCAGAATCCAAAGGGAACATGGAGACACATCCCAGAGGGATTTCCCAAAGTCTGAAGATATATCAAGGTCCAGATATATCTTGATATATCTTGATAAATATATCTTGATAAATCCCTCTGGGATGTGTCTCTGTGTCCAAAGAGACACGGAGACACATCCCAGAGGGATTTCTGAGGTCCAAAGGGACACGGAGAAGCCCCTCAGGCGGTTCCAGGGGTCCCCAGGTGCTCACAGTTCCGGGGTGTCCGGGATGGGCTGCGGCACTGGCATCACATTCATGGGAGCACCGGGACAATCCCATCCTGGGGCTACTGCTGGTCACCCCCTGGGTCACCCCCGGCCCCGAGGGGGGTCCCATCCCTGAGGGGGTTCCCATCCCCAAGGGTGCCCCTGTCCCTGAAGGTGTCCCCATCCCCGAGGGGGTCCCTGTCCCCAAGGGGGTCCCGATCCCCGAGGGTATCCTTGTCTCTGAGGAGATGCCCGTTCCCAAGGGGGTCCCTGTCCCCACAGGCATCACCATCCCCAAGGGGGTCCTTGTCCCCATGGTGATCCCTGTCCCCACGGGTGACCTGGTCCCCAAGGGGGTCCCTGTCCCTGCGGGTGTCCCCATCCCCATGGGGGTCCCTGTTCCCATCCCCATGGGGCTCCCTCTCCTTGTGGGGGTCCCTCTCCCCTGTTCCATCCCTGGGGAGGTCCTTGTTCCCATCCCCGTGGGGGTCCCTTTTCTCATCCCTGTGGGGGTCCCTCTCCCCTTGGGAGTCCCTGTTCTCCTCCCTGGAGGGGTCCATGTTCCCATCCCCACGAGGGTCTCCGTTCCCATTCCCACGGGGGTCCCTCTCTCCCTGGGGGTCCATGTTGCCATCCCCAGGGGGGTCCCTCTTCTCCTCCCCGGAGGGGTCTCCGTTCCCATCCCCGTGTTGGTCCTTCTCCCCAGAGGGGTCCCTCTTCTCCTCCCCGGGGTGGTCTCTGTTCTCCTCCCCGCAGGGGTCTCTGTTCCCATCCCTGTGGGGGTCCCTCTCCCCCTGGGGATCCCTGTTCTCCTCCCCGGGGTGGTCCCTTTTCCCATCCCCGCGGGGGTCCCTCTCCTCCTGAGGGTCCCTCTCCCCGTGGGGGTCCCTCTCCCCCTGGGGGTCCCTGTTCCCATCCCCTTGGGGGTCCCTCTCCCCCTGGGGGTCCCTGTTCTCCTCCCCTCGGGGGTCCCTCTCCCCCTGGGGGTCCCTCTTCCCATCCCCACGAGGGTCCCTCTCCCCCTGGGGGTCCCTGTTCTCCTCCCCCCGGGGTTCCCTGCGGGCGGGTGCCCTGCAGCGGCGGCGCAGCCGTCGGTGGGTGCTCAGGTTGGCCTGCGAGGCGAAGGCGCGGCCGCAGCGGGCGCAGGCGAAGGGCCGGTGCCCGGAGTGTGCCCGGCGGTGCAGCCGCAGGTGCCCGCGGCTGCGGAAGGCGCGGCCGCACTCGGGGCAGGGGTGGGCGCGCTCGGGGGGCGGGTGGGCCCGCACGTGCAGCTCCAGGCTCTCCCTCCAGGCGAAGCCGCGCCCGCAGCGCCCGCACACGAAGGGCCGCTCCTCGCCCGGCCCCGCGCGGTGCCCGCACGGCCCCGCCGCGCCCGCGGGGCGCTGCTGGCACTGGGAGCACTGGGGGCACTGGGGGCAGCGGGGCCGCCCCCGGTCCGAGCCGCGGTGCCGCAGCAGGTCCCCGCGCAGGCAGAAGGCGCGGCCGCAGTCGGGGCAGCCGTGCCGGGCGCGGTTCCCCCCGCGCAGCCGCTTGTGCGTGAGGAGGTTGCGGCGGTGCCGGAAGGCTTTGCCGCAGGTCCCGCACACGAACGGCGGGCCCGGGGCGGCGGGAGGCTCGGCCCGGGGAGCCCCCAGCTCGGCCCCGCAGCTCAGCCCCAGCCCGTCACACGGGGGCGGCCCCGGCTCCCCCCGAGGGGGGTCCCCGGCACAGCCCCCCGGGGTGGTGTCGCTCCAGCCGGAGCGGGGGGCACTGAACCCCAAGTCCCAGAGTCCCCCGCCATCATCCTCGCTGGCAGAGCCGTCCTGGGCACCTGTTGGGAAAAGGGTGTCACCACAGGGGGTCCCAGACCCACCGCCAGCCCCTCACCCACCCGGGGGGGCTGGGAGGGACTCCCACCCAGTCCGGGGGAGTGTCAGACGGGGGGTCTGGCTCCAGCCAGCCCCTCAGGGCACAGTGACACCCCAGGGTGGCCCCACGGGATGTCCCCAGTCACTCACCGGTGCTGGAGACGTCAGAAGCTCTGCTGTCCCCCCCAGCACAGGGCGACTCCTCCTTCATGTCGCTGAACTTGGACGTGGAGCCTGTGCAGGGAAGAGACCCCTCAGTGCCCCCCAAAATGCCCGGTGAGTGTCACTGGGGGACTGGTACCGCCACCAGGCCACAGCACTGGGAGCTGTGGGGGCTGCACTGGGAGCTGTGGGGGCTGTGGGGCCGGGCACAGGGGATGGGGGGCTGTGGGGCAGCAGGGCCGGGGTATCTGGTGCCTTTATTCCTCACACCCGCAGATGCACTCGCGGCCCTGCCCTGCACTGAGAGACGGCAGGTCGGGCTCTGCCAGGGGGCTTGGGCTGCAGACCCCTGGCTCAGCCCCCAGATCCCTGAGCAAGCCCCCAGACCCCAGCTGAGCCTCTGAACCCCTAGCTGAGCCCCTGGGCCCCCCGCTCAGCCTCCAGACCCCCAGCCAAGCCCTGGACCCCTGGCTGAGGCTGTGGACCCTCACCTCAGCCTCTGACCCCCGGCCGAGCCTCTGGACCCCCGGCTCAGCCTCCGGCCATGCCCCCAGCCTGGTGACACCCCCATCTCTGTGCCCCCAGCCCTGTGACACCCCCAGCCCGGTGCCCCCCCGGCCCCTCACCCAGACTGGCCACCAGGTCGTAGTTGTCAGCCATGACCTCTCGGTACAGCGCCCGCTGCCAGGGCAGGAGCTCTGCCCACTCCTCGGGGGAGAAGTAAATGGCCACCTCTTCGAACGACACGTCGGGGGGCACCCCCTGGGGGGACAGCGGGGGGCTCAGGGGAGCCGGCAGCACCGACCCCTCGCTGGGCACCCCTTGCGGGTCACCCCAGGACTGCGGCACCTCCCGGGCCCCAAAGGGTCCTGTCCCGGGGCTGCTCCGGCCCCCGCAGTCAGCACAGGGGGCTTGGGGGGACTGCCAGGGCTGTGGGGAGCCCCGGGAGGAGTGGGGACCCCCGGGGCTCTGGGGCTCCCTGGGGCTGCGGGGACTCATGAGAAGAGCAGGGACCCCCAAGGCTGGGGGGCTCCCCGGGGCGAGAGGAGTGGGGTCCCCTGGGGCTGTGGGGACCCCCCGGAGGAGCAGGGACCTCAGGGGCTGCGGGGACCCTACTGATGAGTGGGGTCCCCTGGGGCTGTGGGGACTCCCGGGAGGAGCCGTGGGGACCCCCTGAGCCGTGGGGAGCCCCGGGTGCCGCCTCCCGGTCTCCCTGAGCCCGCCTTCCCCCTTCCCGGTAACCGCGCCCGGAGGCGCCGGGACCGCCCCGTCCTGTCCGCCCCCCCCGCCCCCTCCGCGGGGACCCCCGGAGCCCCCCCATCCCCGGACCGGCCCCTCCGCCGGGACAGCGGGGCCGCCGCACCCCCGGGGCCCCCCCGAGCCCTCCCGGCGCCTCCCTGGAACCCCCCCGCGCTCACCGTCTGCATCTCCGGGCGGGGCCCGATGGCGGCGGCGGAAGGGGCCGGACGGGGGGCGGCACCGGGACACGGGGGGCACCGGGAGGGGATGTGGGGTACCGTAGACCCACCCCCCGCACCCACGGGCCGGGGGATCCCCGCGTTTTTTTGGGGGGGGCTCTGCCCGGGCGATGGCGGCCGCGATCGCCCACCCCGGCAGCATCGGCCACCCCCCGAGCGGGGCTGCTCGGGGACACCCCCCATGCTCTCCAAGACCACCTTTCACCCCCCCAAATCCCGAGAAACCAGCCCGGCTACTCCGGGCGTCCGAGAGCCCCCACACCGGAGAGTCCCACACCGGAGGGTCCCACACCGGGGCAGGAACAACCAAAGCCACCCTGGGTCCTGCCCCTGCAGCCCGCGTGCCCAATCCTCCCAGAACCCACCCGGGGTGACACCAGGTGCCCTCAGCCGGGACAGGGGGTGTCCGTGTCCCAGTGCGTCCCCTTAGTGAGAGCCCTCGGTGTGAGACCCCCAGTCTGCCTCCAGGAGCACGGGGGGGTTCAGTGCCACCCCAGTGGACGTGAGGGTGACCCCGGGGTGGGCTTGGTGGCCACGCTGGTCCTGAGCTCCCACCTGGTGTCCAGGGGAGGTTTGGTGGCCGCAGGGCGCGCTGGAGGGTCCCGGCACTGTCACTGTCCCGGCGGCCCCTTGGTCACGGTGATGGCCCGGGGGCTGCAGCTGGCACAGCCTTTGCCGGGATTCAGGCTGGGATTGAGGCTCCAGGGAGACCCCCGTGCCCCCCCATTCCCGGACAGAGCACCCGGAGCTGCTGGAGCCATCAGAAGCTTTTATTTTAAATAACCTCAAAAAATAGAATTGCAGAGAGCAGAGCTGGGGAAGAAGAGGGCTGGGGCGGGACCCCCCGCCCGGCTGGGGCTCCAGTGGTGGCTGCCCCGCGTTGGTCCCCTCAGAAGATCCTATTCCCTTTGGGATGAAGCAATGGCAGATCCCGGTGCCCGTGGCCAGAGCTCTGCCCGAGGCTGCAGCCCCCTGGCCACTGGCTCTGTCACACCAGGGGGGACACAGAGATGCCAAGCAAAGCCCAACAAGCATCCCATGCCCCCCACGCCCCTGGAAGCCCCCCCAGCCCCCACCAATATCAAGTCCCAAAGCACAGTTATCCAGAGCAAGCAGAAGCACAAGCTGCCCCCCCCGCCCCCCCGGACCAGAGGCATCTCCAGGTCCCTTCTGGAAGCAGAGCTGACCCTTTCCAAGCCATTTTCCTGGCTGTTTTCCCAGTGCTCTCCCAGCTCCTCTATATGGAGCTGGACTGGGGATCCCAGGTCATCCAACAGGAGAAAGGGCCTCAAGACTCCTGCAGTGGCAGGGCTTGGCTCTTCCGTCCCAACCATGTCCTTGTGGAATGCCATCCACTCTGGAACAGCCTGGAAGGTTCTGGAAGCAGTTGGAGCCCTCTCGCCCCTGTGGCTGCCTCCAGAGGATGCAACTTTTAAGCCACTGGATCCAGCTCTTCCCAGTCTATGTGGCCGGAGCCAATGTGGCAGATCCAGGTCCAGTGGCACCCCCTCCAGTCCTTTGGTGTCTTCCCGAGCCAGAAATGGGCCGTGTCCCAGTCTGGCTCTGTTTTGCCCCATCCAATCCCCACCAGGCTCCTCCAAGTCCCAGTGTCATGTCCAGCCAGAGGCGTCACCCTGGCTCTGACCCCTCAGCTCTGACCCCTCGGCTCCGTCCTCGTCAGGGTCCGCTGTGGGTGAGTGTGGGAGCTGAGGGCCGGCCCTTGCCCGTGGGGGTCCTGGTGGGGGTCCCAGTGCAGGGGGGTCCCAGGCAGCCAGGGCAGGTCCTAGTGCGGGGGCAGGGGTGGGGGTCCTGGCAGGGGCCCCAGCGTGCGTCCTGGAGCACATCCCCACGAGGGTCCCGGGGGGGTTACAGACAGCCGGGACACGGGGCCGGTTTTTCCTCGATGTGCTCCTGCTCCGGCACTCCCGGCGTTCCCGGCATTCCCGGCACGCGCTTCTCCTCGAAGGCCCGCGCGCAGCCCCCGGCCTTGGCCCAGAGCTGCCCCCGGGGGGGCTCGGGGGGGCGGGGGGCCAGGCAGGCGGCACAGCAGCACGGGGGGGGCAGCCCCGGCGCCCTGGGGCCCGGACCCTCCCCCGGGCACTTGCACGGGGGCACCGGGGGGGCTCCGGGGCCCGGGGGGTGCTCGTCCTGCATGAGCTGCAGGAGGATGTCGGCGGCGCCCGAGGGGCTGTCGGGCCGGGCCGGGGGGGCCCCGCGGGAGCAGGGGGGCAGCAGCAGGGCCGGGGGCTCCGGGCCCTTGCCCAGGGGGTCCCCGGCGGAGCAGGCGGGCGCGAGGCCGGCGCCGTGGGTGCGGCGGTGCCGCAGCAGATGGGCCTTCTGGCTGAAGCCCTTGCCGCAGTCGGCGCAGCGGAACGGGCGCTCCCCCGTGTGCGTGCGCAGGTGCACGGCCAGGTTCACCTTCTGCCGGAACCGCTTCCCGCACTCGGCGCACGTGTGCGGCCGCTCGGCGCAGCCGTGGGGGCACTCGGGGCACGGCTGGGGCTGCTCGGCGCAGGGCAGGGGCTGCTCGCAGGGGTGGGGCCGCTCGGCACAGGCGTGGGGGCACTCGCCGCAGGCGTGGGGCTGCTCCACGCAGGCGTGGGGGTGCTCGGCGCAGCCGTGGGGCTGCTTGGTGCAGGCGTGGGGCCGCTCGGCACAGGCGCGGGGACACCCGGCGCAGGGGTGCAGCTGCTCGGCGCAGCTGTGGGGCCGCTCGCAGGCGTGGGGCTGCTCGGCGCAGACGTGGGGCCGCTCGCAGGCGTGGGGCCGCTCGCAGGCGTGGGGCTGCTCGCCGCAGGGCCGGGGCTGCTCGAGGCAGGGGTGCAGCCGCTTGGCGCAGGGGCACTTGGCGCAGGCGTGCAGCTGCTCGGCACAGGCGCGGTGCTGCTCCGTGCAGGGGTGGTGGTGGTGCTCGGCGCAGGGGCGGCGCTGCTCGGGGCAGGAGTGGGGCCGCCCGCGCGGGTTCACGGGCGGCCCCCCGTGCTCGCCGCAGGCCTCCCCGCAGGGCCCGCAGGGGAAGGGGGCCCCGGCGGGGTCCGCGGCGCCGGGGGCCGTGCCGGGGGGCCCCGCGTGCACCCGCTGGTGCACCCGCAGGGACAGTTTGCTCTTGAAGCGCTTGGGGCACTCGAGGCAGGTGAAGGGCTGGCGGCCCAGGTGGGTCTTCTGGTGGGCCAGCAGGTTGGGCTTCTGCGCGAAGCGCTTCCCGCACTGGGCGCAGGCGAAGGGCCGCTCGCCCGTGTGCACCCGGTAGTGCGTCACCAGGTTGCCCTTCTGGTTGAAGCGGCGGCCGCAGACGCCGCAGGTGAAGGGCCGCTCACCTGTGTGGATGCGCTGGTGTGTGGCCAGGTTGGTTTTGAGGCTGAAGCGCTTCCCGCAGGTGTCGCAGCGGAAGGGGCCGCGCCCGCCGGCGCCGTGCCCGTGCCGCAGCAGCCGCTCGCACTGCGCCAGGCTGCGCCCGCACTCGGGGCACGGCCAGGGCCGGGCCTCGCCCGCCCGCGCCGGGGGGGACCCGGGGGGCAGCTCCGCGCCGGGAGCGGGCTCGGGGGGGGCCCCGGGGCACGGCTTGTGCCCCGCGTGGCTCTTCTGGTGGGCGACGAGGGCGAGCCAGAGCCCGAAGCTGTTCCCGCACTGGTTGCAGATGAAGGGCTTCTCGGGGGGGGCCGCGGCATCCCCCAGCCCCGGCTGCGCCCCCGGGGGCCCCAGGAGGGGGGGGCCGGGGGAGAAGTTTGGGGGCGCCTCGGGGGGCCGCAGCAGGGGCACCTTGGGGCAGAAGCCGTCGCCGCAGTGGGCGCAGGGGAAGGGGGGCTCGCCCGGGGGCTGGGGGGGGAAGCCCTTCTCCTCGCAGGGGAACAGCTCGGCGCCCTCGGGGGGCTTCGGGGCGGGCGGGAGCGGGGCGAAGGGGGGGTCCTGCGGGGCGGGCGCGGGGGGCAGCAGGGCGGGCGCGGCCCCGAAGGGCGCGGCGGGGGCCGGGCCGCGCGCCAGGCAGCGGCGCTGGCGGGGGACGTGCGTCTTCTGGTGGGCCTTGAGGGACACCTTGTCCTTGAAGCACTTGTGGCACTGGGCGCAGGGGAAGGGGCGCAGGTCGGTGTGGGTGCTCTGGTGCGTGACCAGGTTGGTTTTCTGGGTGAAGCGCTTCCCGCACTGGGCGCAGGCGAAGGGCCGCTCACCTGTGTGCACCCGGTAGTGCGTCACCAGGTTGGTTTTCTGGTTGAAGCTGCGGCCGCACAGGAAGCAGGAGAAGGGCCGCTCGCCCGTGTGGATGCGCCGGTGCGTGATCAGGTTGGGCTTCTGCCGGAAGCTCTTCCCGCACTCGGGGCACACGAAGGGCGTGTCCTCGGCGCAGCCCCGCGCCGGCCGCGCCCGCGCCTTGCCCTCCTCGGGGTGGGCGCCGTGGATGCGCTGGTGGGCCAGCAGGTTGGCCTTCTGTGAGAAGCTCTTGCCGCACTGGGCGCAGGGGAAGGGCCGCTCGCCCGTGTGCACCCGCCGGTGCGTGAGCAGGTTGGGCCGCTGGCTGAAGCTCTTCCCGCAGTCCCCGCAGCGGAACGGCTTCTCCCCGGTGTGGATCCGCTCGTGCGTCACCAGGCTCTGCTTCTGCCGGAAGCCCTTCCCGCACTGGCCGCAGCGGAAGGGGCCGGGGACGCCCCCCTGGGCCCCCCAGCAGCCGGCGCGGGGGGCCGGGGGGTCCCGGGGGGGCTCGGGGCCGCGCTGCCCGCCGGGGAACCAGCGGCCGGAGCTGCTGCCGGCGGCCGGGAACAGCTCCAGGGAGCCGGCGCCGATCCCGGGCTTCTCCTCGGGCTCCACCTTGCTCACCCGCCCGGGCTCCACTGCACCGGAGACATCTCGGAGTCAGCCCGGCCCTCGGGGAATTCCGGGCTGTCCCGAGTGGGAAGGCCCTGGATCCAGCCCCACCCGCTCCACGTGGGACCCCCAACATGGAATCACCGTGGTCTGTGGCCCCCCAAACAGCCTCTGAACCCCCCCGAAGCTCCCAGTTTGTGACACCTCGAAGTGCCCCCAAATTCCCCCCAAAAACCCACCGCTGGCCCCAAGTTGGCCCCACCCCCCCCAACCTCCTGCACCCCTCGGCCTTGCCCGCAGTGGTGCTGGTCGGTGCCAGGAAAAAAATGCCAGTACCTGGCCCAGACTGGTCAAAACTGACCCGAAATTACCATAAACTGGCCAGAACCCAGTTCGGAATGGCCCAGAATGGGAGCAAACTGCCCCAGGATGACAAAAACTGGCCCAAAACTGCCCAAACCAGCCCAGAATGGCCAAAACTGGTTGAGAATGGACATAAACTGGTCCAAAACGGCAAAAACTGGTCCACAAAACTGGCCACAAATTGGTCAGAAATGGCTGCAAACGGGCCCAGAATGGCCACAAAATGGCTCCAAAATGGCTGAAAACTGGCCCAAAATGGACATAAACCAGCCCCACGCTGGCTCCAAACTGACTCAGAACAGTCCTAAACTGCCTTACACTGGCTCAGAACGGCCCCCACTGACCCCAAAACGTCTCTGAAGGTCCCAACTGTCCTCAGACGGTCCCAGCCCGTCCTTTTCCCGGAGCCCCCAATCCCAGCGCTCCCCCATTCCCGAGGATCCGGACTCACCGGCGCAGGGGCTGCCCAGGGCCTTGGAGTCCTCCGGGCCCGTCCGGGCGGCTCCGAACGGCTCCTCCGGCGGCTTCATCCCAAACAAACCCAC